AAGGGTAGGTCATGTGGAGAGGAACCTAGGGAGGGGTTTATACCCCGTGTATGATGACTACGCCCATCGGGGGGCTATTCCCCCCGATTCACTTGACCCTGATTGGTTCAAATATCCGCAGGGTGGATATACGAACCCAAGTGCCTTTGGTACCTACGTCGACTACTCATCGTTCCATGGTTATGGGACCGATGTACCTTTCGGTGGGCTTGGGGGGAATATGGACCCTAACTACTTTGCAGGTGGTTCGGGGTATGGAGGTGGTGGCTCTAGCCATGGAGGTGGTGGTTCTAGCCACGCCGGGGGCTATTCGAGGATGGATGAGGAGTAGGCTACTCTCCCAAGTCAATGAGGGCATTGCTTGATTTGGCTTGGGGGGTGTTCTTTCACTTGGTAATTCTCTTCCTTTTTCTCTCTTTATTTGCTTTCTAGTATAGCTTTTATTTGCTTTCCTAGTGTAGTTTTTATTGTTTTCTTATATATGAAAAATACAAAAAAAAATTGAAAAAAAATAAAAAATTCAAAAATACGTTCCAATGAATTATGAATCATACTTCTGTGTGCCCCATACTTGAGAAATTTTTTTTTTTGATTCTTGGTAATTGATGATGAATATTGTGGATTTGTTGGTCATGATTTGAAGTTTGATTGCTTGGATTCCTAAACATGCATCAATTTTGCCCAACTACTTGTGAATATAGTGCTTGACTAGTTGATTTGGTTAGGAAATGTGTGATAGTTCCATAATTCCTGGTATGTCAATGAATTTGAGTATTGATTTGCAACTATGAGTAGTGTTTCATGACTTATTATTATGCACATGAGGAGGATGAAGGCGTTCATTCTTTTAGGTAGCCTTCAGAGTATTAGATACATTTGTTCTCTTCTTGTTACCCATGTTGTTGCTTGTGCCCTTTTATTGTTTATTTAGCCACATTACAAGCCTATATGAGCCCCATTGGTTACTAGTCCCAAGCTTGGCTTGGGGGAGCTATTAGTTGGTGAGGTGAGGGAGTTAAGGTGTGCATATTACTTGCACAATGTGGGAATAAAAGAAGAGTTATTGTTCTTTGATTTTTGATTGGAAAATATTGATATTGTGTTTCAAAGTTGAATTTTCAATATGAGTTAAAAAGAAAAAAAGAGCAAAAGGAATTTTTTTTTTTAATGCTCAAATGTTCTATTTGAAGGTTGTTCAAGGAAAGAAAAAAAAGAAGAAGAAAAATTCAAGTAGAAAAAAAAGAATGAGTTCAAAGTTTGTTTTTCACTCAAAGTTCTACATTATCATATTTTTATGAGTGATTATTGTAAGTGTTGGGATTGTTTATATTGTTTGGAGTATATTTGGTGGATTGTTGTTGGAGTTGGTTATGTTGGAGATGTGTATGATCATCGTTATCTTGATCATGGGCTTATTAGGTTTTGGCTCCCTTAATGCATAACTTTTCTCTCACATAATCCCAAATTTATCCTACCTTTACCCTAGCCTTACATTACAAGCTTAAAAGACCTTCCGACCTTGTGCATAGAAGTTATGTAAATGTGGAAGTGTTATTTATCAATGCAAGTTATGACTTGGCATATTTTGAGTCGACTAGTAGGATGAGCGTTCAATGTTTTTATACACACGAGAGTGTGAGTTGGGAGGGCATTGTTCACATTAAAGGGGTTGGTTGGAGAGCGATCGAGTACATTCTTTACTCGCCACATAAATGAGAGTTGAGTGTGTGAGCACTAATCTTGTATTCTATAAGCTCTTGTGGTTTGCTCTATTTGACAATTGTTAAGGAGGAAGGGTGATTAGATGAATAAGATTGATTGATGTTGAAGCATGTTCATTAGATTTGCCTTGAATCGTTGGTTTTTGATTTGATTATTGCGGTAAAGTATGATTTATATGTTGATTGATGAGCTCTTTGCTTAGGGAGAAGCAAAGGTTTGGCTTGGGGGAGTTTGATATGTCCATTTTATATAGTGTTTTATCCCCGTCCCTTGGTCGTTATTAGTAGTGTTTTTGGCTCTTTCGGGCCACTTTTATTACTAATTTGTGTGTTCTATTGTTTTCGTAGTTTTAGTTGTATTTTACAGGAAATTGCACTCTTGGAGCATTTTCCCGGGCTTTATTGGATCGACTACGGAAGCTAGAAGGACACGACCACTTTTGGAGCCCAAGACCGGTGAGAGCCGGGGATTAAGGGATCGGTAATCGGGACACCGAGGTATATGGACCGAGTGATCAAGACCCTAAGTGGATATCCGGATTGGGCCGAAGAAATAAGCCCAATCGAAGCTCCGAGCATCGAGGTGAAGCAAGGGCCCGATCGGGCAGCTTAGCTCGATCGGGCAAGGCGCGCAAGAGTGTGCTGGTGCGTGGACAAAGGCGCGCCCGATCGGGCGCGGCTGTGGAGAAGAGCAGTGCGAGAAAAAGGCGCGCTCGATCGGGCGGCCTCTAGCCCGATCGGGCGCGTGTTTCTGGAAGAAATCTTTTATCGAGCAATTAGTTTCTAATTAGGAAGTTGTTTTAGTTTTGTTTTAAGTACGTTTTAGGACGATTAATTTCACTTACCTTCTTTCTTAGATTTTCTCTCTCTACTTAGTATTCTCTTTCTCTTAAACTCTCTCTAAACCTTTGTTCTTAATTCTTTTCATTAACTCCAGATTTATTTTGGTAACGATTTCTCTTCCCTTAATCTTAATTGTTTATTTTATTCCTTTCATCATGATTTATTTTATTACTTTGATTAGTTTAGTTTTTAATATGTGTGAGTAGTTTAATTTCTAGGGTTTATGGGGATCTAATAAATAATATGAAGGGGTAATTTATTGTTGTTGATTATCAATGCTAGATTAATTTCCTATTGATTGATTTAATGCTCTTTGACTAGATTAGGCCTATCTTTTATGCATGAGTTTGACAATATTGATTCAAGAATCGAGAGATGAGAATTAATGTTTAGGTCTAGTTTAAATAGGCAAGTTAATTTATAAATGGTTAAGTCAAGATTCGAGAGATGAGATTTAATACCGGTAAATTAATTGTGTGATTGTAATACGTAGCGAGAGCCCTTTACAATCTGGTTAATTGATGCATTGATGATTGACTATTATTGATTATTGGTATTGCATGATAATTTCATGTTGGATTGTTTTAATGTTTTACAATTGCGGCTTGTAAAAGTATAACAATATTAAATTGATGAATCGAGCAGATGTTAATTTGATATTAAAGGTTATTTTCAATAAGAACTTAGATCTAGTAAATTGCGAGAGCATGTTAGATCTTTGTTGATTAATAAATTGCGAGAGCCTGTTAATCATGTTATTTATGCAATGTCAATGATTGATTACTATGTTTTACCCTGGAGTATTATTTATTGGTGAACCTATGCCCTAGATTTTTTCATATATTGTTTTCTTCCCATTCTCAACCTTAGTAGTTTAGTCTTTTACTTAATTATAAATATTGGTTACTTAAATAATTTAGATTATAATAATTAATTAGGAGTAAAAAAGACTTGTTTCCCTGTGGAGATCGACCCTACTTCCCTATCTACCTTAGTTAGTGATTTTGGTAATTATTTTTTATTAGGGGATACGACTTTACCCTGTCATTTGTTCACTTGGCGAGGTCGTCAATCTGTGGAGGACCTCGCGGCGATTGATGCTAGTTGGTTGTCTCACTTGCTCGGCCTGATGTTTAAAAGACTTGATTGGCCATTGATTTCAGCTTTTGTTGAGAGGTGGCAGCCGGATACGAACACCTTTCACATGCCATTTGGGGAGATTACGATCTTGCTGTACGACGTGTACAACATACTTGGGTTACGGGTCGCAGGCAATATGGTGACCACTACTCCTAGCACGGACGTGTTACGGGACGCGTGCTCGATCACCATGGATATGACTCCAGATGATCTGTCTGAGATTTGCGGCACAAAGACCATTTGGCAGGGTAGTGGGGTGTTGACTGATAAGATTTTTGAGTCGACATTGGTGGTTGACCGGGAGTTTAGTGATCAGCTTGATGGATACTTGTGGTTAGTGCTTGGAGGTACACTTTTTGTAGACAAGAGTGGTAACCGTACGCATCCTTCCTTCCTCCACGAGCTATGTTACGTGGATGTCCCTATTAACGAGTATGCTTGGGGAACAGCTACACTGGCCTACTTGTATCGGCAAGTGGGCACGGCATCACGGAAAGGTGCTGATTCGATTGATGTTTGTCTCACGCTTCTGCAAGCGTGGATTTACGAATACTTTCCTTGCTTTCGGCCACAGCAGGGTACCTTGACCCGAGACCTTCAAATGCCTCGTGCGTCTGCTTGGGATGTTGGAGCGGGATGTCCTAGCAAGAACCTGGAGTGCCTGTTAGCTTTTCGTACTAGAATTGATGCGCTTACTGACCGTGAGGTGAACTGGCTGCCGTACGGAGCTGATCCTGCATTACGAGGCTTAGTGCTGCAGCTTCTTCGGTTGCGCCTGGTTACATGCAGTGGCTGTACAAGTTTTCTCACCCGCGGGTATCTCCAAGTGTAGGAGTTACAAGCAACCTGCCTGAGCGGACTAACACTGATTACGTAAGTATTTATGCTTATTAGTATATTAACAATGACTTCTATGAATTTTTGTGTTTATAATATGTTATTGTTTGATTTGCAGTGGATGGGTCGGTCCATGGAGATTCACCAAAGAGCACTGGCTGAGTATCCTGAAATGTCGAGTGAGACTCGAACAATGACTGAGTAGCTTGTATTTGATTGGAAGTCAAAAATGGGACTTTAGATTACTTTGATTAGATGTTCTGTTAGTGGTTTTAATTATGTTATGAACTTATTTTTATTTTTTTTTTTAAATGTAATGTATAAACTGGACACTTATTTATTTTTATATTTGATGTTTTGCTGCATATCCTGTTAGATTAAAAGCAAATACATTTAAAATTAATTTCATAATTCTAATTTTCTTACAAATGTTCAAAGTTAGTGAATGTACATTACAAACTACCTAACTAATGCATCCCACATGTCCCTTCTCAATTGATATGCTTGATCCCATCCATTGACACTATCCTCGTGGTGTTCCGTCCACCAACCGGCGATCGGCGGGAGTGGTGAATCAGGTACAAGGTCAAGACAGATGAAATGTGATCCACCAACTGTAGCAATCACAAACTCTCGAGTCGGTGACTGAACCCCGTTGCGTGCCCTCAACGGTAAGACTGTGATGCATGGGTAGTAGCAAGTTGGTACTAGGCCTACCCCGAGACAAATCACCCTTGCGTTGAACCACGTAGCAATGGAAAATAAATCTTGAATTGTAACCATCCAATGCCGCTCCCCGACAGCCCCACCATCCCATCGAATACGCTCTACGTTCATCCAAAGTCGCCCAAGCCCATAAATCCGTTCGTACAAATTATGATGACCAGCGATCTCGTTCGCTATTGTTTCTCGAGCGTCAAACCACTGATTTTGATCGCCAAAGAAGAAGTCGACGACACAACGAAAGCCACAATTCCCATCACCAATGACATCCTTCCAAGACGAAATGTACGGCAACATTGGACCTGGAAGCAAGTTCAAATACCTGCATTGACTAATGTCACTTGGATCTACAACACAAAATTAAAAGATAAATAATTAGTAAATCTACAAGTATTAAGTTTACATATTTTAATATTACATATAGAATTTTAATACTACCTGGTTCTGGGTCACCACCACGTTGAGTGTGTTGACGGTTCACATGCTTGAAATAGCTACGATCACGCCTGGTGTCATTTTTCCTCGGTCGACCACGAGTGTTGAGGTTGATATGTGGTTCTTCAAGGTGTGTATGATCTGGATGTAGCTCCTCTTCGATGATTCGCGTTACATTTCGACGTACGGCCGGGTTACTTTCCATGACTTCATCAATTAGGGACCGAAAATGTGCAGCCTCCTCGGTCGAATCATCAACCACTTCAGGAATGTTAACACCATCACCAATAACCAGTGTCTTCCAGAAAGAATGAATTTGGCTGCTATACAATCATGTCCGTGCAACTATCGAATCATGTATCTGGCAAGCACATGGAAGACCATGGGTCACACGCATAGCACATCCACACCGTTCATGGACCTGGTAACTCAAATCCCGCATCCTTTTCGTCTCGTTATCCAGAACTTTCAAGCAATGTTGAGACACTTTGCCATTTATACGTGACAGTGGTAACTGTCTGTACATCTGACCAATTTTAGACCTTGATGCCTCCAAGTCATTACGAATTTGTATGATGCGATTACCGATATGACAATGGACTCGGGCCCATACGGTATCCAAAGCACATGCCAATGATTCTAATTAGTAAATACATTTTAATTGTTTATTTATAATTACAATTACGTAACAACGAGAACAACTAATAAAATAATACAACTAACCTGTGGATGATTCAAACCAAGTTTTCACTGCTGAATGTTGGCTCTCAACTCTGCAGTTGGTGGTGTTACCAAAGTGAAGAACCTGGTTCGTTTAAAATTTCACAAATTTCTCCTTATGACAAAGCCATGTTCTCTGAACATATTGAATCACTGCCGGATATTTTCCCCAACTCACTTGCATGGCAGCTAGAGCATGATCATATTCCGCCTATGTTGTTGCATTCACGATTTTGAACCATCTCCCAGCTCTAAAACTGACACCAACCTTCTTGTTTCCGAACATCTTCGTCACCTTAGCCTCCACATCTCCGTTGATGTGCCATAGACAGAGTAAATGTGACGTCCTTGGAATGACTTCTCTCAAAGCCGCACATAGCCCAAGATCACGGTCTGAAATAAATACAAATGGCTCTTTATCAAACCCAATCAAATCCCGTAATCTTTGCAATACCCACCGATAGCTAGCCGTGCACTCGTCGCGCATGAAAACATATCCAACTAGAAAATTCTGGTTTGTCGGTGTCACGCCTTGTAGACACCTAAAAATGTCTCCCCAAAACCAAACCTGTTGATGAACACCTTTCACCGCCATTATTGGTCGAGTTGAGTATTTAATCTTTGGAGTGCTTAAATCCATGTTCTATCCAATATATTTCATGAACCAATCCAATTTCTAGCTCATTTCCCTAAACCATAACCTATTTTCCACTTTTCGTGTCCACATCGCAAAACTGAGAGAAACTGATTTTATGGCAATAAAATTTTGATCCAATTATTATTTTTTTAAATAGTTATTTAAATAAGCTTTCCAACCATATATCATAATCCAAATTCCGAGCTATAACGAAAAAGATATGAGAAAAACATTAAACTCGGCCCAAAACCGACACCATTCTACTAAAACGACCATATCTTAAAATATAAAAATTATTTTGACCTGATTTTAATCGGGTTGGAAATTAGACTTCATAAGCTTTCCAATGATATATTTTTTTCTTTATTCCGAGTTACGGATCAAAAGTTATGATGATTTTAAAAACGCATAAAAAACTGGAATTACCGCGCAATAGCTAAAATGCCGCGACGCGGCAAGATTTGACGTGGCACGGGAGAAATTCCCGTGACACGGTAATTTGGAGGGGATTTTCATGTTTTTTAGTGCCCCGTGACTTGGCATAAGTACCGTGACCCGGCGCCATATGCCGTGACACGGTGGACTTTGCCGCGTCACGGCGTTTTCTGCCGTGTCACGGTGGGTTGCTGACATGTCACGGTGCTTAAAACTTCCCCGCGTCACGGGGAACTGTGCCGCGACATGGGAATTACTGCCGTGTCACGGTAGGAATTCCCGTGTCACGGTGCCAGTGTTGTGACACGGGACAACTCTGTGTCTTTTCCGCGTAATCCCTTCACGCGTTTTTACTCCCGTAGGTCAAATATTTCCTGCGTCACTCTATTTTTCCCCGCGTCACGCTAATTTCCCCCGTGACACGATAGAATCTGCCGTGTCGCGGTAGCCTTTTTTAGGGTTTTTATCTTTTTAGGGTTCCGTGTGTTCCCTCTGCTCATTTTCCCTATAAATACCCCCCTCCTTTCTGCAGTTCGGGGCACCAATAATCATTCTCTCTCACCTTACACCAAAAATCATTCTCTTCTCCCTCTTTAACCTAATTTCTAGCCTCCTTATTCTTCCATAATAATTCCCCTAAGCACTCCAAGGAGTCCATACTTAACCCGAGGTTCCGTCCTTAAACCAAGGCGTGAAAGGTACAAATAACTGAGGGTTTGGACCAAATCAACTCTACTTTTTATTTAATTTAATTTTCATTTACTTTGTATTTTCATTGAAGTTATTAACAGTTTATTCATGATGTAGCAATTCAAAGGAACGGGCAGAATGTGAGTAAGTAATTAATTTAATTACTCTTATTTTTAATATTGCTAGTATCATGATTAGGGTTGTTATTATTATTATTATTATTATTATTATTTGATTTGACTCACGTTATTATTGTTAAATTGCTTCCAATATTAATGTTTGTTCTATTATATTTATTGATCACCATATTGCATGTTTAAAGGGAATATGTAATTGAAAATCACGTCTAATAAGATAATTTGGACAACCGGTTTAGGATCTTTTTAATCTTATTATTAATTGAAGTGATCACCAATATTTTAGAATTATGTGTGCATTAATCTTAAACCAATTTAGTTAAATAATAGTTTGGAGCGAATTGAATTATTGTTTGTATGCCTTTGAGATCACATGAGTGCTTTTCAATATAAGAATCGAGTAGAGGCCAATACGGGCGAATGTGACTCCATGACTCACTTCGTACCATCATCCCCGATCCTCCTTTCGTGGTTCCGAACCATATGGAGTTAGTAATCTCATGGATTATGAATGGGGTGTAACCTTCACGGGTCAATCGTTGTTGCCTATCGTTGTCCCTTATTCGTGGTTGCCTTTTATGATCCGTGAACGGTTTACAAGTTCCTTAAAAATTTATTGGCAGCTCCCTACTTTCCTTGTCCCTAATCGTATTGTGTCAATTCCCACTTCCTATGAGTTCCAAGCATATTCACACATGCTTTTTACGTAGGCGCACTTCGAACGACGCCTACACGCCTACTATCTCAAAAAAAGGCATGTTATATCGATTGGTCTTGTAAGTAGAATCCATACCTATGACATGTGGGTATGTGCGGAGTAGGTTGACCATGTTCGGGTGCACCATAAATGCATGTTGCAAAACGTTGTGCTCATCGTTCATGACCTAGTAAATGTATTTACTCTCTCTCGCCAGATGAAGAAATTGCTGAACAACTCCTCTTCCTTCGGACATCTCCATCCTGAAGTCATTTCGGCAATTGTAAATGTGTCGGATGTTTGGATGATCATAAGGAAATTGCTCGGCAATAGTGGACATGATGTTACGGGGAGCAACCTTGGACTTTGTCATGTCCCGCACAACCTGTTTTGCACCCGGACTCAATCCGCTCACTTTACGGTGACCCTCTGGGTACACAATCATTGGGTGGTTATGTGTCTCGGTGTGATCATTTTTCGCAATGATCTTCCAACTGTCGGTGCTGACTTCATAATATATCTTGATGTAGAATGGACAACCATTAGCTTTGGTTTTGGTGTCCTTCCGTATCGCGTTCTCCAAATCTCTCGGTTTGCTCCTTCGTGACCGATCACATCGCAAATACCTATATGGCCGACCATCTCTGATTTTGTTATAAGACGATTTCACCAATATAAATCCCAATTTTATGGAAACACCATCAGCCCATGTAAGTGCATCGTCAAATGTAGGAAAAAACGTATCTGTGACAAAATTCCCACTATAATTCACACCGTCACCACCTTCCTCAGATTCCATATCCTATACAAATTAAAAAAAACATGGTTTATGTCAAAATAATAATAATAAAAACAATAATAACAATAATAATAACAATATCAACAACAACAACAATAAAAATAACAACAACAACAACAACAATAACAATATCAACTACAACAGCAACAATAATATCAACAACAACAACAACAACAACTACGATAATAATAATAATAATATTTTCAATAATAATAATAATAATAATATAAATAATAATAATAATAATAATGTAACAAAAAATAATCATATTACTAATAATCATATTAATACAAAAAAATTACATTAATTATCAAATACTAAATCATAACAATAATAACAAGACCACGAAAAAAAACAAACTTAATTAACATAAAAAAAAATATAAACGTACTTAACATTTAAAAAAATATATATGAACAGGGACACCCGCCTAAAATTTCCGGATGTCCTTTGGTACATCCGCCTAAAATTTCCGGATGTACCATGGAACATCCGGATCTTTCAGGCGGATCCCTACTTCCGCTTGAAATTTCCGGATGTTCCATGGTACATCCGGAAATTTTAGGTGGATGTACCTTGGACATCCGGAAATTTTAGGCGGATGTCCTAATTGCCGAAAATAAAAAAAATAAAAAAAAACTTACAGAATGATCCGATGTATTCTCCGGCGTACGTGTGTTCCACTCGCCGTCCATGACCCAAGATCCGTCTGATTATTTCACGATTTTTTAAAAATATAAAATTTAGGTGGTCGTGGGGACCGATTTGGTTTTAAGGTCGTGGGGACCGATTTTGGGAGGCTCGGGATAGCAAGGTCGTAAAGTGAGGGGACTGTTTCATGTAATGTGTCCAAATGGGGAACAAGGTCCTTTTTATAACACAAATTGCATAAAGGGCATAGTTGTCCATTCAAGTCAAAAAGGGAGCGTTACCCGGTAAAATGGGAGCGACGAATAGCAGTTGAGTATTTTTAACCCGTTATTTGTTTATATATGTAGTGAGATTAGGATATTTCTTATCTTTTAGCACCACATTCCCAAATAACGTCTTCTCACCTTATTTAACCAAGCTTTACCCTTATTTGGAAATTCATGACCTCTATGTTTGCATCATCATCCAACAAGTGGAGAAAGTATGTTAGCAAACCTAAGGAAAATGATTGTGTGAAGTTGATAGGCATTTATGGTTAGGATGAGTGATTATTTGTTATAACCTTTGTAAACACATGAGTGGGTTTCCTAATTCAATTTGGACAACTAAAGAGAGATGCTATTCATATACGATTATACAACGGAGTTGGTTAGGGGAGATGTGCAGTAACTCGGAAAGATTAGTAGTCAATTCCGAGTGCTTGAAATATTGGTGGTTTTACAATAAATGGTTTGCATTTCATGTTTTCACTTGGTTTTGATTGGTAGCACATGTATTCTAGATTGAGAGGCTATCTTAGCTTGTCTCCCATTGTGTTTCATGATCAAATGCTTGAAGACAAACAATATTCTAACTTGGGAGAATTTAATATGTTGATCTTAAGTTTTAATGATGACTCAAGGAACCTAAGAAAACCCATAGGAGCTTTAATTTTTGTCTATTAGCTTTGATGTACTTGACAGGTTCTTATATGCAACGAGGTTCTAGAGTAAGAATGGATCATGGAACAAGGTCTAAGGAAGAGATATGGATAAGTATAGAAGACAATCAGAAGCCAAGTTCCTTGAGTGAGGAACTGAAGCTTCAGAGTCGAAGCTTCACAGTATGTCAAGAAGTCTAGTGTATATATTTATTGTTTCTTTTAGGCTTCTTGTATTTTTGCTAAGTACATTGTTAATTAGTAGGATTTAAGTGGATTTAATTTTATAAAAGATTTTATTTTCCATACTTTAACTAGTTTTAATATTATTTTGAAAAATTATCTTTTTAGTCAAAAATATCTTATTTATCAAAGGATATTCTGTTTTGATTTTATCCTATTATTTTGGAAAATCTGACTTGGTAAAAACTCTTTTGAAAACGGATCTTTTACTTGGTCAAGGAGGTTGAGAAAATTAAGGAGCAGTAAACCACTTCCTTGTATATGCTTCAGCTTGCTGCCCAAGCATCCACAAACTACACTTCCTAAATTAATGGAAGTTGTGGTGTAGTGGGAGTTAAGGCAAACGTAAAAGTTTTAACTGCTTTCCTCCTGTATAAATAGGATTAGTTTTCTGTTTTGAAAATTACACTTGAGCATTACAATTCTTAGCTTTTCTAAAAGAGTCAAAAATCCACTTAAGCCCTTGAGTGTCTTTGTAATTAGCATCTTTAGAAGTTTTATCTTAAGTTGTATTGGGGTAGAGTTTGGGTAAACTCTAGAGTGTGAAATTGCTTTGAGTGAAGCAAGGAGAAAGAGAGAGATTCGAGAGCTTAACTGATTGAGGGATCAGTTGAGGGGGAACTTAAGTTCGTTTAGGAACTTGAGTTTAGAGTCTTAATTTGTAATAAGTTGTTTTCCCTATTATTATTAAGAGTTGAGTTTAAAATCCCTTGTGGTCGTGGTTTTTCTTCTTGATTAGGGCCAAGAAGTTTTCCACGTAAAATCTCTCTTGCACTTTAAAGTTTTTGTTTAAGTTTCTTTAAGAATTCCGCAAAAATTACCCTAGTTCCTCCACAATACAATTCACCCCCCCTCTTGTATTGTTCATTCGAGTCAACAATTGGTATCAGAGCTAGTTCCTCGAAGAAATCATGGAACCCTAACGAGTTAAGTTCCTGGAATCAAGATGAACAAACATGAGAAACCGGAAGAAGGTTACTCTACGCAGCGTCCTCCTATGTTCAATGGGAAATTCTACACCTATTGGAAGAACAGGATGGAGATTTTTATCAAAGCCGACAACTACCAGGTTTGGAGAGTGATCGAAGTTGGTGATTTCGAAATTATTAAAACTACTGGTGAAAATGAGGTAGTACCAAAACCCATGTCTGAATTTGATAAGGAAGACTTTGAGAAAATGGAAATTAATGCACTTGCCGTTAAATTACTTCATTGTGGTCTTGGACCCCATGAACACAACCGTGTTATGGGTTGTAAAAATGCTAAAGAAATTTGGGATTTACTTCAAGTTACTCATGAAGGAAATAACGAAGTGAAACGCTCTAAAATTGACTTGCTTATGTCAAAGTATGAACGGTTTGAAATGCAACCAAAAGAATCAATTCAGGAAATGTTAACTAGATTTACTAACATTATTAATGAGCTTGTTTCTCTTGGAAAGCAAATCCCTATTGATGAGCAGGTCAGAAAAGTTCTAAGAAGCCTCCCTCAAGATGAGAGATGGAGAGCCAAGGTAACAGCCTTACAAGAAACAAATGACTTCACAAAGTTCAATATTAAGCAACTTGCTGGTACCGTCATGACTCATGAGTTGCACCTAGGAACAAGCAACAGTGAAGAAAATCGAGGAAAAGGCTTGGCTCTCAAAGCTGGAGATCAAGAAGACTCTGAAGTCGATGAAGAAGAGGCTGCTATGCTGGTGAGAAGGTTCAAAAGAATGTTCAACCGAAACAACAAGTTAAGGAACTTCACCAAGAAACCCTCTACTTCAAAAGCTGACTCTGGTTGTCACAAATGTGGATCTCTAGAACACTTTATTCGTGAGTGTCCACTTTGGGATACAGAGAAAGGTAAAGGGAAGGCAAAGGAACAAGTTAAGAACAACTATAACAAAACTCCTTTCAACAAAACAAACATTAGGAAGGCTATGATTGCTGCATGAGGAGATTCTGAAAGTGAGGATGAAGAGGAACAACCTGAAGAAGAAACAGCTCATCTGTGTCTGATGGGCAAACGTGATGAAAAGTCTTACAATGATGAGCTTGCTAAAGAGGTATTCCTTGATCCAAATGTGCTTAAGACTTATACTAAAGATGCTCTCATTAATTTAGTGTTTGAATTGGAAGATGACTGGACTCACACTAGTATTCGTCTAGGTGAATGTCAAAGAGCTCTCAAAGTCTGCAAGGAACACAGTACGTGGATTGAGAATCAACGAACTGATGTTCAGAGTAGATTTTTTGAACTTTTTGACAAGAATGTTCTATTAAAAGAAATGAATGAGAAACTCAAGCTTGAAAATATCATGGTTAATGTAGAACTGACTCAATATAAACTTGCTAGTGCTGAAGTGTCTCCAAGTTCCTCCTCTGAATCTTTGCCTAAATTTAATGAGGATTTTGAAAAATTAAAAAATAATCTTGACGAGTTTAGAATTGAAAAGGCAAAATTGGAGAAGGAACTAGAGCTTCGAAAAGAAAGAAGCATTAGTCAGTTTGGAATTCCTAAGTGGATTGAGAATGCTCAAACCAAAAGAACTGAAGGTCTAGGATTCATACGTTCTAAGCATAAGGGCAAGAAAAAATATGTAGACCTGCCTAGTTAATTATAAAGTATGTACCTTCTATGGTAAAAATGGTCATCTTGTTGCTACTTGCAACAAGAAGGAACAGTCTGTTGGCAAGAATGTTAGGCAAGTTTGGGTAAAGAAATCTGATATTGCTTCTACGTCCAAGGAACCCAAGGAAACCTGGGTTCCTGAATCTAACCAATAAGTTCTTTTGCAGGTCCTAGTGAGGGGGAACAACACGTGGTACCTCGACAGTGGTTGTTTAAAGCATATGACAGGAGATAAATCAAAGTTTCTCTCACTAGAGGCCTATCCAGGAGGAACTGTGACCTTTGGAGATAACAAAAAGGGTGAAGTAATTGCTAAAGGAAAAGTAGGAAGGTCCAGTTCTCATTCAATAGAAAATGTACTTTTGGTCGAGGGTTTGATGCACAATTTGCTGAGCATATCACAATTTTGTGATAAAGGAAACTCTGTAAGTTTTACCTCTGATTCATGCAACATCATTAATGATAAAACAGGAAGGGTTGTTCTTGAAGGAACTAGAAAAGGGAACACATACATTGTGGATCTAAATTATGTTCCAAGGAACAACCTTACCTGCTTGAGTGCCATTAA